TCAAGGACTCAAATCTGTTCATACAGATGTTTCAGTTGTTTTCCATGATAAATTTAAACCAAAGTCATCTGAGAAAAAATACTCTAACTTGGTCCACTTAGGCTTTGATTCCAATGGGATGGTTTCAGGAGAAATTTCTCTGACACAATGAGATGAGGTTTGAGAGATTTTATGGCAAAAGTAATAATGATGATAATGATAAAATGATGATAATCATGGCTCTGACAACAAAGGCATTAATACCTCTCAGTAAGTAGGAGAGGTGGTTCAAAGAAAATGAACACCTCAAAATGCATTAAAATGGGCAAGCGACATTTGGCCCCAGAGTCAAGCTTTTTTGCTGAAGAGAGTAACAAATGGCAGCACCCCACTAGCAAAGAACACAGGGGCCGATTCCATGGAGAGCGGAGTGAAGCCTGCCTGGGAGGAAGGTGCCTACCCACACGGGTCCATTATCTCTTCCAGGGCAGGCCAGGAAGGGGCCCATTCACTCCACCTGGGTGAACACACTTGTCCCAGGAGGCCGTTTCCCTTCCTGCCTCCTCCGATTGGATCAGGCTCATTTGTTTTTCTACCCCAGTTCTCCGGCAGTCCTCGCTCACCTTGCATGGGTTATCATAAAACATCTTTCGCCACGCTGCTGCTAAAATGGAGCACTCTAAACAAATGTTCTCTTAGGGCAGTAACTCCTTAATATAAACTGCATTTAATAAAACTGGTGGTGATTCTAAAAAGAAATGGGTAAGGCATATTCAGAGAAGATGTCTGGAAGAAATTTGCAATTAATATTTTACAAGACATTTAGATTCCACAGTTTCCTCCTTGCTGTTAAAATTTAAGAGGTTTTTCAAAACTGTATTCCTCTCTGTTATTATATCCTTAATTAAATTAATTTATACAGTGAATGCTCTAATGATACTGCTGTGGATTTCAATCCAAAAGTCTTATTACTAGAGACAATATGTGTTAAGACCTTGAAGAGAGAATGGCATCCAGCACAGTGCTGACACCATCAGCACAAGGATATTTGGCCCTGACATCTGATTATTGAAAAGATCTTGGTAGCTTTTCCGGGCCTCAGTTAAGTCTCTATTTTACTTTATTTTTTAATTGAGCTAAATTAGGTCAACAAAAACAAAATGAAAATCTTGCAAGTTGCCTTGATAAGGATGTCCCTCTGGGAAACACAATAGCAGATAATGACATTTCTACTGAAGAAACTACCAGTTAGGTTGTGTCTAGATAAAACCCTCAAGAATGGATGCTATCTTTAACCACAAGTTGACATATCTTCAAAGCAGGGGCAACCAAAATTAGTCCAAAAACTTAAATGGTCCAGCAGTGGAAAAAGTCAGCCTAACAAGGCACCAAATCCAATGGCTTCTCAGGTAGCCCAGCCTGTGCAGATACACTCACAATATTCTCTTCAGGCTATAAAGGCTCTACTTACTAGGGATCTCAAGGATGTGTGTGTGGTGAATGGGCATTCCGTCTGCAGCAGAAAAGCATGAAAATACGAACCATGTAAGTATTAATTACCTGTCTACTGTCCACCCTTCCAGCTAGATTAGCTAAAGGCCCCCTTGGGCTCGATCCCTGCTACTTCCTGCCAATATCTAGCTTAGAGCTAAGCACACTGTAGGTACTCCATGATCACTTGGGATTAATCTCGTGAGATGTCAGTAATTAATATGGCACTGTACCTAAAATTTCACCTGCTGCTGAAGCATCCAGTAACCGCTCCTAGAGGAGATGCATGATCAAACCAAGGGAATGACTCCCAGACTCAGCCCTTGCTCTGTGTTGAGCTGTTGAATTTGCTTCCTTTATGACTGCCATTGTATTTCTAGGGTTTATGTTGAGAATTTCAGGGGATGTAAAACAGAGTGTCTTCTTTGGTTACTCAGTAAGAGGCAAGTTTGAGAAACGTGTCCTGAACGATTCTGCACTGCTCAGTAAGAGCCCTGATCCTTCACCTCAATCTGGGAGTCGTTCCCCCAGCCCCATGTAAAGGGTTTCCAAAATTCATTCATGGCATGTAAAGGAGGGTGCCTTCAAATCAAAATCTTACGGCTGACACATTCGATTGCACAACAGACCGTCCTATCAACTTGTTTCTGCTTCCTGACTGACCAAGTTCTTTGTTTCCCTCAAGAAAGAAAGATGGTGCATACAGAGGAAAGCAAACTCCCAACATCAATCAAGCTTGGCTGCATAATAAAAGTTCCCTATGAAACAAAACATCAACTGCAAAAGAAAATTACATAGGAAAAAACCCTAGCATTATTTGATCTTATTTTAAATAGAAAGTTTTGGACACTTTAGAAAAAAGGCAGCAAGTGACTTTTTAATGGATTTTATCCACAGGAAAATGATTACAACCAGAAAAGCTTTAAAGTGTCAGCTGGTGATGCATTTTTTCTTTATCCCTTTTATTTTTATTCAGAAAGAAATTGAAGGCATATGGCAAAGTGCATCATTAATTTCTTATTAATTTCATAATATGAAGGCAACCAGTTAAAATAGTAGTGTACAACTTTAAATTACCGAACTCACTTGGTATTTAATGAGAGATTTAGCGCAGCAGGGTCTCTGTTAAATTAAGTTGTGCCTTCACAGCACAGTGGGAAAACAGGTGTATATTGGTTTAGAATTATGGAAATGTTGACTAATTCCAAGGCTTGTAATCAAACAGCAAGGCACCCTGTAATATTTTTTTCTTCCAAGAATATGCATTAATCTTTTATGTCTGGTCCCATTTCTTTCTGTCCACCAAAGACTCACACAGCTAAAAAGGAAACACTTTCATGTTTTTCCTATAGCTGTTAAGGGTAATGTGTACTGGACAAAGCTGTGCATAAACGCAAGATGTGAAACTCTATCCTCATTTACCATATTCGAAATGGCAAATGTAGCAAGTGTGTGCACTGGAAAGGCTATCAGCCTTACAAATCAGATCTGACTTTTCAAATTTTCCTTCAACCTGCCTCAAGTAATTTGGCACATGAAACTAGATAAGGAGAAAACCAAAAATAATCCACGACCGACTTTTCTAACTCCCAAATTATTGTCCTTGACAGTGGGTCTCTAACGTCACCTCCCCTGAATTCTACATGCAGAATTTTTAGGAAGAAAAGAAGTAACATAGGTACAACATTTAAAAAATATAAAACATGTTGTTTTCTAAGAGTCAGTGTAAGAATCCCAAACAGAAGCATACTCATAAGTCACCTTTACGCATTTCAACATGCCCCATTCATTATATTCACTCTGGGTTTCTTGAGCGCATCCTCGACTATGAAGTTCACATGCTGGGAGCTGTGTTTCTAGTAGAGGGATAAATACCTATCCACCAAGCTCTGCATTCATTTAAAATATGATGTGACTTGGCATCAAACTACACTATACCTTAAATGCTAAATAAACAACAGTAATTTTAAAAAACACACCTAGAAGGGATTCTGCATGCTAATTACTGGAAAGCATTTCTTTTTAAAAGAAGAAATACAAAGTGGTCTTTGGGTCTGATTAAGAGCCTGGGAAATAAAAATTATTTTCATCTATTATTGGCTGAGTCAGTAAATATTTGCCTTGGCTCTTTCATTCCATAATGTGACCCAACACTGCAATCTACTAGAATCTGTGTTAAAAAAAATCCATTTACATGAAGAATGCAGATAAAATAATACTATTTTTTAAAGTCACTGAGCAAAGCACTCAATAAAAGCAGCTTTACTAAGAACCACCTTAGTAGTTTCAGAGAGAAGCAGTGAAACTGGGCGGGACCATTGTGGGCCCACACACTTGCTTTTTCGAACCTTCTATTCTTTGATTTCCTCGCATACGAAGGGGAATACCAAAGTAGTAGGATTCGAGATCAAGGTTCATAATTTATGACTTTTGGGTGATGAAGAAGCTCATGTTGTGAGAATCTTTTGCTGAGCTTTTTGCCACTACAATCTTGTATCGTGGATGAGTCTAGGATGAATCAAACAAATGCAATCTTTTCTGGGGGCCTGCAGGGGTTCAATGGTTATGTTTGCATGTGTGGATGTGTACAGACACACAGGTGTTTGTGTATGCATTCAGAGACAAGTAAATGACACAAAGGTAGAATTATACCCTGAAAACATTAGGGACATTATCTTATCTTTCTCTTATTCTTATCAAACCAGGTTTCAATAAAATCATTATCCTTGCACTGGTTACCACAGGTGCTTCATTATAACAAATGCATGTCATTATGATCTTGAATGAACTCATCACTGATATGTGGGTCAATGGGGAAAACATTCAAACAGCATCAGGAAATTGCTAATAGCATGAAATATATAAAAGTGCTAGAAAATCCTTTAGAAAAACAGTATTCTGATGTTCCTACATGCAACATCGGTTCATTTCTGGTGAACTGTGCCAACTATCAAATATTACTGGGAAGGAAACAGAGAAAAAATGGTCAGCTTTGTATTTTCTGTCCTGTATCAACATGAAGCCACAAATTGGGCATTAAAACATTGACTTTGTTAACCACCATTGACTGTTTAGAAACCATTAGGAGGCTTAATATTACGGCTGTACAGGGTACATTTTGTCCTTTCAAAAGAAAATCTAAAGACAAAATTTGAAAAGGAGCTCCTGGTGAATAAAAGCTTTTTCTTTTCCATTTGCTTCTCTTGTGTGTGTTGGGTTTTTTTTTTTTTTCCTTTTAAAATCTTAGCCCACCCAATACTCTTTGGCAGCCACGGCTGCCCAGTGGGGTCACTCTGATTTTCTAACCAGGGGACGCACTATTGGACAATGCCTCCCGTCAGTGTTAACGCCAGCGCTCCTTTATGGGCTGGCCAGCTGGTGTGGCTGCTGCAGGGAACCGGGGGGTCAGCACACACTCCTCAAAAGACCAAAGTCATTTTTGGCACTAAGAGCCCATAACTAGAACCTTCAGTTGAAAGGACCATTTTCAAGCAATAAAGTGATTCTGGTACAAAAGTAAACCGACTCACCCCAGGTAAAGTTTTAATATTGTGCAGTGCATTCTGGGCCTCAAGTGCAGCTTTTCTTGTATAAAATGTTACGAAACAACAACCTACAGAGAGAAATGAAAAGGTTTTAGAAATTTCTGTGAATGCTTTGCTTAGATATAATGGAGACTGTGGCGAACAAATAATCTACTTAAAAGGATGCACAATTTAAAAATAATAAAGCGTATGAGAACAGCAATAACAACATCTCAAGCATTTACACAGTACCTTTTCATCCTAAATCATATTTATTAGCTTTACCCACGTTGGAGATCAATTCCTGACTCCGTGCCTCACATCACTGGAATACAGCTATTCAGGAATGAGGGTGGGAGGTGGTGGAGGAATGGGTGAGGTGTGAAAGGGGCCTGTGTTATAGCGCCTACGTGAAAAGAAGTATTTATTCACAATAACAACAGCACAAGCTTACATTAATTATAATTTTCTTAAAGTGTATCTCCAGAACATCAGGCTTTTGAAAGACTTTCTAAACTCGAAGCTTCAGACAACTGGATTATAAGCTTCTTAAAAGCTGGGACAGTGCATTCTTCTTTATCTCTACCACATTACATGATGCAAAGTTCTGTACATATGACCCTCAATACTCGTTTGCCAACATGGAAGACTTTATTTTAACTGGTTTAGAAATTAAGCTACAATACAGATGGGTACATGCCCAAACAGATGTTAGTGGACTCTGGCCCATGCATTACATATGGCTGTGGCATACAAACTGGCAATATCTAGATTCCCCCTTTCCAAGAGCCTGTGGGAGTCCCCGGCCCTTCTGGGCAGGCCAGCATATATCCTTTTCCAACCAACCTCCTCCACCAAAGAAAACAGTATGGAAATCCTAGACCATTCCCTCTGTGTCCTGGAGGAGGGCTTGCACCTTCTTCAACTTGTAGATAAAGATACTGGCTATTTGTTCATCAATATACAGTTTCTCAGCACAATCAGTCTGGGAAAAGAGGGTAAGACAAAAACTTATGAAATTTAAGAAACAAAGATGCTAACCTTTGATCTGGGATGCCTTTGGTGAGTCGTTGAGGAAAAAAGTAAAGTGATGCACTCACCCAGACTGTAGGTATTTTATCTTGGTTTTACTAAAGGAATGTAATGCACGGAGCCAGACAGGGGCCAGAAGAGCTTTGAGAGGTGCTCCCATTCCAGGGGGAAAATAAACTATAATCTCATTCATACAAGATTCTGAAAGACATCCAAGATTCTTCCTCATTTGGAAGAGAAATTTGGAACCTCGTCATTTTACACTTGATTTAGTTAGAGTCTACTGACGTTCAATATATACAAAACCTTTGCCTTTTGGACAGGGTAGACTATGACCATAGCATCTTGGCATTTGAAAAACTCCATGCATCCAAGGATCAGAACCCTTCAAATGTATCACTTGAATGAAGGGAACTGAACATTATGACATTTCTTTAAAGAATCAAGCTGAAGAGACGAACCATTTTCACGAGCATCTTATTTCAGCTCCTTTGAGATCTTTGACCAGAATCCACTTGGCTCTGCTTCTTGATGGTAGATTTTTTAGTGAACCCATCAACTTCACTAGTGAGTTCAGCTTCACTGGTGCGATGTAAGCCTCAGAAAAGCCATAGGAATTGCTTCAGGCCAAGGAGTAATTTCCAATAAGAAACTAACATCCCAGCTTCCAGTAACCATATTTAGAAGAAAAATACCAACCATGTCTCATCAGGCTTGGTATACAAAGAAAAACAGGACAAGCCTTCCTAAATGCTTCTAGCAAACACGGTCTCAGTGAGTTTTCCTTTCCCCGTCCTGGGCTTATGGCATTAGTTTCTGGATAAGGAAGCAATAGGGAAGTTCTGAAATACCACCTCATTTAATAATCACAGTTTCAAAAAAAAAAAAAAGCAGAATCTGATACTTTTAGGCAGGTAACTTTTGGGGCTGAGATGTTTAAAAAGAGAAGATTTAGGGATGCAGCAATTTACTGGCTGAAATAAAGGAAATTATGAAAGAGTAAGTTCAGGAGATGAAGAACTGATGCCAGTTTGGCCACGCCAGAGCCAAGAATGAAGAGTTTAGGTTGGCGTGGAAGAACAGTGGTATGACAGGGAACATGAAAATAGAGTACTAAACAACACTAAGATAAAAGCAACAAGGAACAATGATGATGTAAACGGAGTGAATTGTGTGTACTTCTGTGTGAGCAGCTGTGGAGAGCTTTGACCAACGTACAGCGGTCTCAGGGATAAGGGGAGTGCTCCTGCCTCAGACACCCAAGCAAAATCCCTGCCATGGCCCGCTGCCTGAGAGTCCACCAGGAGAGTATAGTCCATTTGCTATTTACATATTAAAACATGACCCTTGAGGAAGGAGACATTTCATTGTTCCCAGTTATTACAGCGTAGTGTGATTTTAGCTACTTTAAAGGGTCTTCCTCTTGAACAAAGTTCTTAGTGAAAAGAAGGTGGGTGGCTTTGTTTTTCAGAAAGGGAGAGATTGACGCTGGTATCTGAGCAGGGTGGGATGGCAGGTGAATAGGAGAAAGGAAAGATGAAAGCACTCGAACATACAGAAGAGCAGATGGGAAGATCCCCAAGATCTCAAATGCTTTCCAGTTTCGTCCAAGGTTCACTCTGCCTTTACAACTAGTACTGTGAAGTCAGCGACTTATCACTACAGATCTTCTTCCAACTACGCATAGCTCTTAAATGTTTCAGTTAAAAGTGTATACTCATCTAAACAAGTATTCTTTAAGATCATGCCAAGAGCAGCTCTAGTTCCAGTGTGACACACAGGAGGATATCCTAGGCAACACCGCTAACGTGTCTTACCGCTCATCTGTCTGACCCGAGAGCCGAGCCCCAGCACAGCTCCACAGGTGCCGTGTTTGGCAGGGAAGCCTGGAGCCTTTGTGCCAATTCCAAAAGCGGATCCCATCTCCATGATCTCCATGACCTCCAGGTGGGCAGAGCTCCTTGCTCCAAGTCCATGGCTTGATAAGCCCATCCCAACCTGGATTTCTAACTCCATTCACAGCCTCAGCAGGGTACCCTTGCGCAATGAGCAACTTACACAAATGTGGGGTTCTGGGCAGACAAGGAGACTGGGAATATTAACCCCAGAGGCTTCTTTTGGTTTTTCGCATTTAGTTCCTGAATGACTTACTGTGGGGAATATCTTACTTCCTCAGTACCTTAAAGGGTCTTCCTCTTGAACAAAGTTCTTAGTGAAAAGAAGGTGGGTGGCTTTGTTTTTCAGAAAGGGAGAGATTGACGCTGGTATCTGAGCAGGGTGGGATGGCAGGTGAATAGGAGAAAGGAAGGATGAAAGCATTTTAGTTTCCTCATTAAAACATTTATTTATTTTTGAGTCAGGATGTCACTCTGTTGTCCTGGCTGGAATGCAGTGGTGTGATCATAGCTCACTGCATCCTTGAACTCCTCGGCTCAAGCAGTTCTCTGGCCCCTTCCCTGAGTACCTGGGACTACAGGTGTGTGCTATCCATGCCTCACTACTTTTTAAATTTTTGTAGAGATGGGGGTCTCACTATGTTGCCCAGGCTGGTCTTGGACTCCTGGCCTCAAGTGGTCCTCCCACCTTGGCCTCCCAAAACCCTTAGACTATAGGCATGAGCTACTGTGCCCAGCCTAGTATGATCAGTAAGTAAACACCAGGTCTGCCTAATATCCCCCCACAAAACTATGTAGATATGAAGCCAAAGTGTTTCATTCAGGACCAAAAAAGAAAAAGGGTCAAAAGCATTCTTTACTTCTATTAGACTAAAGGAGGTCTTACGCTTCGTTCAGCATGCCATTGTAATGGTTCACTTAACAAGTACAGTGTTTGGTTTTTATTAAAATTTGCAGGATGAATACAGAGCTCCAAATTGAAACAGTCAGCTTAGATGCAGCAATTAGTGTTTTTCCCCAGCAGGACTTTAGTGTGTACCTTTCCAGATACTGGAATGTGTTTGAAAGACTTTCTATGAGTTTCTCCTAGTTAACAACCATAGTCTTTTTATCCACCTATCACTTAATATGCTCCTCTAAAATCTTAGATTACCAACCTGCAGACAATATTTCAACAAAGAGAGAAATACCACTATTTTCCCTGAAATGGCAATTATTATGGCAAAAGGTCAAAGAGCTACTACAGATCCCTGAAAACTCATGGAGGCTCAACAAGGATGAAATTTTCTTTCTTGTCAGCCCTAACCAAACATACAGCTGTTAAGGGAACCACCTGTCTCCTAGATTTCCCCACGCCAGCTGTAACTCAGGTCTGAAATGTACTGGATTCCTTTCCAGGTCAGCTGCAGCACCAGATGGCTCAGCAGTCTGAGTCAGGGGCAAGCTTCCTCCCCTGCAGGCTGTTTCCAACATCACATCAGTGTAAGGTGGGTACTCACACATCGACCACACCCAGGGACTCTCTGATGGTCAGTGGTTGCACCGTACATCACAGGGGACAGTCCCTTGGGCTCCAGAATTCATTCCCGGAACCCCCCCTTTCCCTACTGTCCACGGAGTGGAGAGAAAGGCCTCTCTCCATGTTAGGGTGACCAGCCAGGGGGCTCGGCTCTGGGGATCAGCACAGGCTGATGTAGTCTGATGAACCAGGTGCTTCTGCAGGTCTCAACCCTCCCATTGCTGCTTAATGCTGGTAAATTTCTGCTGCTTCACCTTTTTCCACTTTGCTCATTTGACACTATCTAATAAGCACCAGCACGGGACGATTCATGCCACTGCTTATCTACTCATTCAGGAGCTTCTGCCAGTGGCAGTGGCCTAGTTAGAAAAGACAAACATGGTGTTCCACGCCCAGGTGACTTCAGGATATCCCTCGTTTTAACGACCTCAACAATTCATTGTAATAATAAAAGCTTTGGTCCTTGAAGCGAAAAAGAAAAACCCCAAAACACAAAAAAATGCCATCCTCCCTCATGTGCCAGTTTATCAAGCCCCTGCCACGACTCCTCACCAGGACTTTTAAAATTCACAGGTCCATCAGGTCCAATGGAAAACCCGGGAGAGGTGATCCCAGAACCAAATATCGCAGTCTCAGGTCCATA